CACACAGAGGGGCTCTGAGTGGACAGACAAGGACCAGGACTGAGGGAGATGAGGGGAGGAGATGGACTGGGGTGGCCCAAGGGTGGGACATTCCAGTGGGCAGAGGGGTCTGAGCAGGAGGCCAGCTGTGCAGCAGGCGACCAGCCAGCAAGTGCTAACAGGCTGAGAAGGAGGGGACAGTGTAGAGGACACCCCGAGGCAGAGGCTCAGCAGAGGCCCCTGGACCTGGCCCAGGGCAGGGAGGGGTGGGCACAGACACAGCAGGGCCAGGATGTCCAGGCTCCCTGGGGACCCCAAGCCAGGCAGGATGCACCTGGGGTCAGGTCCTCGTAACCAGGTGGGAGAGCAGCTGCCACAGCAGGGAGGATGTGCACAGGAGGGGACACAGGGAGGACAGAGGGAGGGGACACAGGGAGGGGACCCAGGGAGGGCAGAGGGAGGGGACACTACATAGGGACATAGTGAGGGGACACAGGGAGGACAGAGGGAGGGTACACAGGATGTGCACAGGAGGAGAGACACAGAGGGGACAGAGGGAGGACAGAGGGAGGGGACACTACAAAGGTACATAGGGAGGGGACACAGGGAGGGGAAAAGAGGAGGGGGACATGGGAAGGGGACATTGGGAAAGACATGGGGCGGGTGAAACAGTGATGGGACATGGGGAGGAGACACAGGGAGGGGACACAGGGAGGGGACAGAGCAAAGGGACCCAGGGAGGGAGACCCAGGAGGTGAGCCAGGGAGAGGGAGGCAGGGAGGTGGATGACTGTGAAGCCACAGAGTGACCGCAGCTGCACAGCTCTGTAACCTGCCCAAGAACCCTGGGCTGTGCACCTGAATTCAGTCTGTGGCTCAGCCACTCCTCCCAGTGGACGCTGAGCCGCTGTCTGCTTCCTCCCAGGGGCCCTGCCCAGACCCTCCATCTCTGCTGAGCCAGGCTCTGAGATCCCCCGGGGGAGGCCTGTGACCATCGTGTGCCGGGGACCTGCTGGGGCTCAGGAGTTTCGCCTGGAGAAGGAGGGAAGATCCCTGTTCTGGGATAAGAAGAACAGTTCACCTTCTGAGCGAGAGGCCAGGTTCCTGTTCCCCTCCATGAGTGAGGACACTGCTGGGCGTTATCACTGCCTCTACCTAAAGTCCACATTGTGGTCTGAGCTCAGTGACGACTTGAGGCTGGTGCTGAGTGGGGAGGACGTCACCCAGGTCACCACCCCAGTCCCAGGTCAGCTATCAGGTTGGTCCCCAGGTCCTGGACCCTGTCCCCGCTGCCATCCTGTCCACAGCCTCCTGCCCCCACCTGACCCCAGGCCCCTCCCTCTGCACAGTGTCCCTCAGCCCTCATGCCCTGAGGTCCCTGGAGCCCTGGTCTCATTTTGACTTTGTGTGACCTGGACACAGGTCCAGCATGGGGTGGGCATGGAGCTGGCCCTGCTGCTGGGTGGGGAGGGGTCCCCAGAGATGGCTGGGGGCAGACCCCTTCCAGAACAGTGTCTCTTCACTCAGATGGAGGGTTCACTGTCCTTCCCATGGGGCCAGAGCCTGGGTGGCTGAGGGTGACATCTGGTGTAGTCCCCTCCCACTGGGCAGGTCACCTGGGCCAGGGATGGCCCTGACCAGGGCTGGATGGTGCAGAGGGGAAGCTTTGGGATGAGGTGGTCCATGCCCTGTGTGTGCTTGGCCCTAAGACGTCCTGGAGTCAGGTCCGGTGCAGTGTTGGCCTGCCTCAGTGTCTCCTCAGGCTCCAAAGAGCTGCCCCGTGCTGATTCTGTGAGGTCCAGCAGGGGAAGGTGGTGGGAGAGGCTGAGAGAGACCTGCCCCAGCAGCGTGGTTATGATGGGCTCTCCTGTCCTTCCTGGCCCCTGGTCTGCTCCTCAGGAGTCTCAGGACATTGTCTGGGGCTGAGCGATGGCCAGATGTGTCCTCTACTTGAACGCCCAGGGTGAAGTGGGCAGGCTGGTGGGACAGGCTCTAAACGGCCCCCAGTAAGCTCCTTGATCTAACCCGCCCCCTTTGCAGCAGCCCGCAGCCCACAGGTCCCCTCACAGAGCCCTGCTCCTCTGCAGGTGACTCACAGTGGGAGGGGCACTAGGCCTCTGAGCTGGGTGGCGCCTAGGGCCCAGCCCTAGCCCTGGCTTTGGAGTGGAGCTCTGGGAAGGCCAGAGTGAGGGGCACATCCTCAGGCACCGGGATGTCCCTGATACGCGTGACTCCAGGCCAGGCTCTGCTGAAGCATCTAATGCCACAACCTGTGAGGCCGGGGCAGCCTGACCCTGTGGTGCCTCCCCCATTGCTGAGACCAGACAGCTAAGTCCCTCTGTCAAAGGCACAAGGCTCTGAARGGGCTGGGGCAGAACCAGTCCCGGGGCCACACCCCAGGCCCAGGGTCCCCAGCTACACCCTACCTGGAGCCACCAGGACCCACCTTCCAAACCCTGACCTGAGAGAAGGGTAAGTTCTTGGTGGCTGTGGCTGAAGGGTTAGGGAAGGCCCCCGGGGAAGGTGCCCTGGGGAGGAGGCACAGCCCGTGCAAGGTGACAGGGATGAAGTCCTGGGGCCTGCAAACCCTCCCAGGTGTCTCCTGGCTCTGCCAGGTGCTGCGTGGTGGGGGTGAAGCTGCGCCCACTCCCCGGGGCTCAGATGGTCCAGCCTCCCCTGTGTGCTGTGGCAGGACCTTCCGGGGCAGCAGCCTGCAGACCCTTCCCCACCACGTCTCCACTTCCTGAGCCCTGGAAGTGCGGCCAGTGCAGGCAGGACCGACCCCTCCTTCCTCTACCTCTGGTTCAATCTGAGCGTCCACAGCCACTGGTGCCCACTGCATTGGGCAGCGCAGATGTGGGGAAGCCCCTCTGGGCAGGGCTAGTCTGGAGGGAGAGGCCCAGGGTCCTGCAGGTGGCAGAGTGGGTGGGGAGGACCCTGCTGGCTGGGCCCAGCTCTGGCCTCTGATCTCCCCCCTCCTCCAGACCCCTCCTCCCCAGAGGTACAGAGGACAGTAACAACCCTGGAGAGTGTCGTCACATCCCGCATGAGCCCAGGTGTGCCCTGGGGAAGGGGAAAGATGGGCTTTGGTGGTGGTCAGATTCCAGCTCTGCCAGTGGCCAGCGTGTCCCTGTGCACAGAGAGCGTCCCCTGGGCCCCCCTGGGTCGGGTGAGAGTGACTCCCCTTGGCAGCAGAGCTGTGCCCAGGAGGTCTCCAGTCCACGCCCAGCAGCAGCACCGGGGGCTGTGCGGGGTGCTCACACCCGTCCCACCTCCAGCCGCCCCTGCTCTACTCCTGACCACGGAGCACCTCTACCTTCTCATCGGGGTCCCCCTGGCCTTGCTCCTGTGTCTCCTCCTCCTGCTCCTCTTCTGCCTCCATCGCCAGCATCAGAGGAAGCCGGGTAGGACTTCCCGGGAAGGGCGGGCGGGCGGCTGGGCGGGCTGTCGGTGCTGGGGACAAGGCCTCCCTCCTAAACTCAGACTCTGACTGTCCTCAGGGCCTCCCGGTGGCCAGGGCCAGTTGCAGAGGCCACAGGAGAGGTGAGGCCCCTGGGAATGACCCCGGCCCCCGCCCAGTCCTCAGCCTCTGGCTGCCCTAGTGCTGATTTGTTCCTTCCCACAGGCTGGGCCTGGCTGTGGACAGCCTGGAGAGGTCACCAGGTAAAGGCCCGAGAGGAGGGACAGGCCTGGAGAGGGAAGTGGGGGCTCAAGGGGTCAGGAGGCAGCAGGGGGGGAGCAGGTTTAGGGCCTTTCTGGGAGGTTCCAGGTGGGTACAGAATGAGGTCTGATCAAGCTGACCTTCTGTCCACCCCAGAGAACTGACCACGTGTCTGCTTCCCTCCAGACATGGCCACGGCTGATAGACCCCCTGAGAAGGACAGGGAGACCGGCAACCCTGTAAGTCTGCCTGGGTCATCTCCCGCTGCATAAGGAAGTCCCCAGATTAGCAGCCCAGCAACACGTCCCCATTTCTTGGGTCAGGACGTTGGGAGCAGCTGAACTGGCTGGTTCTGGCTCAGTCTCTCATGACGCTGCAGCAGAGGTGTCCACTAGGTTGCAGGAATCTGCAGGCCTGCCTGGGCAGGAGGACTCACGTCCAAGGTGACCCACATCCAAGGTGGCGCACCCCACAGCAGCTGGCTCACCCAGAGGGAAACCAGGCCTGGGATGGGCAGAGGGCACACTGTCTTCTGTGGCCTCACTGGAGTGACCTGCCACCACTTCTGCCACTTCTGGTGGTCCCACAGATCAGCCCTGGTACCCTGTGTGCGGGGACTGCATGATGATGTGATCCAGGAGGTGGGGCCCTGGGAGGTGGCTGCCACAGCCCCCACCCCACAGCCCCCACCCTCATCCGGGGCCCTTCTCCCTCAGGCCCCTGCTGCAAGAGATCCCCAGGAGGTGACATATGCTCAGCTGGACCACGGAGCCCTCACAGAGAGGGCCACCCGAGCTGGGTCCCCACTGACCCCAGAGCCCAGCACATATGCGACCCTTGCCAGACACTGACTCCTGGGCCTGAGGTCACTCCAAGCCACTCTTCCAAAAGCCTGAAGCAGCCATTTGGAGGACTTCTCTTGGACTCACCCAGGCCTCAGAGAGCTTTGCTGGGGACAGCAGCTGGGGCCTGGCGGTCTCTGAGCAGCATCTGGGAGATTCATCCACCAGGTGGCCCCTGCCACAGCTGAGCAGCTGTCAGAGAGGCTGTGTCACAGCTACTTCCAGAGACCCAGCCTCAGTCCCTGGCTGTTTCCAGAGACCCCGAAACCAAGGTCTCATCCTAGGGCTGCTTCCAGAGAACCAGCAAAGGCCACTCCTGGGGTCCCACCTACTTCAGAGACTGCATGCTGATGATGCTCAGTGGTCCCTAACGGCCTCCCTGGGGTCCAGTGCTGACCCTGACTGAGGCTGGGCTGCACTCAGGCTGCCGAGAGCTGAGCCGGATCTCTGGGCCAGACCTCACTTGGTACATCAGTGGACATCTTTAAAACAGAACATCCCAGCCCCCGGGGTCAGGCCAGAGAGGTTCATGTGGACCCAGTGCTGTGGTCTCAGCTGTTCAGAGCAGAGTGGGGGCTACGAGGGCTGTCAGGGCTTCCTGTTTTCTGCAGAACACATCGAATTGAGCAAGGCTGCATATATTCGGGGTGTGCGCCATGAGGACCTGGCCTAGGCATGTGCCCTGTAGATTTCCAGAATCAAACCCTCAGCACAGCTGCACCTGCACGTTAGATCCCGGGACTTGCTCATCTGAAGACTGGAAGCTGATCAGTGTTTCCTGATGGAGCATGAGGGTCGGGGATGGAGAAGAGAGGGGGTCTAAAGGGAGGTGCAGAGGGCAAAGGCTGCCCCACCCACCCCCACCACACTCATGCACATCCAGGCACACAGGCACCACTAACACATGCCTTCGCACACACGGCCCACACTTCTGTGCACACACAGGCACATTGCACACACGCACTCTCACACCCCAGGAAAACCCCAAGTACCTGTGAGGTGCTACCCTGTTTCAAATTAAAATAGAACAATTACCCTGTGGACCACTAGGGGGCGGGAGTGCCTCATCTTGATTAATATGTGTGCCTGTCTCAAAAATCAATCAACCAACAAACAAATAAATAAAAAGCAAGAATCCCAAAGGAACAGAGAACTTTTTGTGCGCGTGTGCACGTCTTAAAATTATGAGCCCTTCACGGGATATCAGACATATGTATACAATCGTCAAAAAAAAGAGTAAAATAACAGGATCCTGAAAACCTGTTAGAGGGCGAGATTTAAACCGTGTGTGTGTGTGTGTGTGTGTGTGTGTGTGTGTGTGTGTGTGTGTCCCTGCGTGTGCTGGTACAGAAAAGAGAATATTTTAAAAGAGAACAAAATTCAGTCGCCTCTTCCAGGGCTGATGGCCATCTCAGTTTGGTTCGACACCAACATCAGGGCACGCCCCTGTCCCACTGTCCACAGTGCCACATTCTCTGCTTTGCTGGGACCTAGGGACCGCGCATGGGCAGTCTCAGTGTGTGGCGAGCTGGACCGACGGGGTCCTTGTCCCGGCTCAGAGCCTGGTGTCCGCCTCCGATGACCCTCCTTGGTCTGCTCTCTCATTTTCCGCTCCCTGCGGTTGGCTTTCTGCGGGGATCTGCCTGCTACCCCTGCCCTGGATCTGGTTCCCTGCTGCAACAGAGAGAGCGACTTTCTGTTGGACAGTCCAGCTCCTCTCCGTGTCTGTCTCGGGTACTTTCAACTTCATCCTGGCGTTTCCCCAAGAATCCTGCTGGCGCAGAGGTGGACAGGTGGGAGGCTCTTAGCAGAGGACGGACCTGGCATTGCAGCGGGGGTCCTTCTATTTTCTGCCACTCCCTGGGCACAGGTGCACACCAGGCCCTGCGACCCCCAGAGCCGCACCGTGGCCTCTGGAAGGCGGGACAGGAGCTAATCATGACACCACATTTTCTTTCCTGAGGGGCAGTGGGAGGAGGAGGGCCAGGGAGAGGACAGAACAGCAGGGACAGGACTGGCCTTCCTCCCTGACCCCGGGCGGGCCTGCAGGACACAGGTCCAGGGCGAGAGGCAAGAGAGCAACCTCCAGGCTCCYGGCCGCCCCTGCAGGAGGCAGCACTAGCTAGCACACCCAGGGTCGGGCCAGCGGAGTGGCCAGGGGAGGGAGGGCCCCCTTGACTAGGGACCCCCACCTCCCAATTCTGAGAACCCTGTCTGGGACCCAAGCCAGTGATCCCCTGCTGGCCTGTCAAAGAGAGATGGCACCTGACCAGTTGGGGCAGGAGCAGATGCTCACGGAGGTCCAGGACCCTTGGACAAAGTGGACGCTTAGTTCACAAGAAGTGTCGCCAGGCTCAAGGGAGCAGGGAGGGGAGGGAGCCCCGATCTTTGCCCACAGACTTAGGTGGCCCCCTCCACCTGGCAAGCAAGTGAGACCTCAGTCAGTCTGACCAGAGGACCAGCGGGAGGACCCAAGACCACCTGGGTCACCTGCTCCCTCCAGCAGGACACCACCCAGGAAGGAGATGGGGAGGGGGGGCCAGAGATGGACTTGACCTGGAGAGAGTGGCTATCATGACGTTTTAACCTGTGCAGCTTATGAGACGGACCAGAGACGTGGTATTTCTCCTGCTGAGCCAAGTTGCATTATGACCTGCAAACACACACATGCACACACACAACACACACACATGCACACACGTGCACACACATAATACACACATGCACACACGCATACACATAACACACATGCACACACAATACACACATGCACATACACAACACACACATGCACAACACACACATGTACATGCACATACACATGCACAACACATGCACACACACAACACACATACATGCACAACACACAATATGCACACACAACACACACATGCACACACATGCACACACATGCACACACACATAACACATAACACACACATGCACAACACACAACACACACATGCACACACATACACAACACACACAYGCACACACATGCACAACACACACACGCACACCCGTGCACACATATCTGTGATGGCCCCTGCACTCTCATGAAGTAGCACTTCCCCTGTTTTAGTTTCCTGAGGAGTGAAGTGTCCCTTCTTGTGTTTTTAATGATGCTTCAACAAAATAGAGCGAAGTCCAGTGCATGGAAAGTGCTGGGCCACTTGCCCGGGGGACGTCTTCATTCGTCCCAGTTTCCGTGCGTATCTCCATGCATTCAGTGATTGTTCACCTACTCCGTCGAAGGCACCCTCCACCCTCACACTTTTTGGACCGTGGTGGGTCTGTAGCACATTGGGCTGAGCACACGCCCCTCTCACAGGGTGGCATCTAATAGTAACGCACCCTCCTGCTGGCCAGCCTTCCCAGGGGCCGCAGTTGGCATGATTGGCGGGTCGTGGGCCGCGGTGCTGCGTACCTGCTGCGTCTACGTTTAGTGTGTGGGTGAGTGAGTTTCCACAGGGGCCTTTTGCTGGACTTTTCTCCCAGTTTCTTTGGGAATCAAGGGGGCTGTCTTCACACAGGAAGAGAAGGGCTCTTATGAGCAGAGTGGACCCCACGGCTGAGCCCAGACACGGGCAGCCCCTGGGGATGCCCTACACCATGAGCAGGCGCTTCCCGGTTCTGTCCAGGGCAGAGCCCAGGCTGACGGCTTCCTTAGAGCCCTGGGCCAGAGGGCGGTGTTAAGGAACAAGATCCACTGGCACTTGTCCACGCACAGCAAGGAAGGCCTTACCTTAGGGGACCATTGTGACAGGTGTGGGGACCACCGTGATGGGATCTTGCAGTGAAAGAAAACCCAGCTGAACTCTGAGTGCAGCTGGGGCAGAGTGGCCGCATCAGGGAGGGGGTGGTCAGCGGGTGGACAAATACCAGAGGAGGTGTCGGGAGGGGCTCCCTGAGCCGAGGGGGCAGGATTCTTGCTGAGGGCAGCCAGGTGCCCAGGCACCAGCTGGTGGTGGGGACCCATCGGACCCCAGGGTGAGCAGGTGGAGGGTCACAGTGACACCRCAGGGTGCTGGATGGAGGACAAGACAAGCCCAGAGCCAGGTCAAGGAGGAAGGGAGCCCAGAGACGCAGGAGCAGGGTTGGTCAACGGGAGAATTTTATGAAGGGGTGACCCGAGGTCTGGGCCTCTCTGGGGGAGGGTCTGACCAAGAGTCGCACAGCACTTGGCCTTGAGTCTTCAACGACCCCGAGAGCTCAGGACATTTCTCCTGAAGAAACACAGCCCCTGGGTGGCTCCCCCGGGCTTGAATCAGAGTCTGGGGGGAGTCACGGGTCTCAGCCCTGCAGAGGCTGAGCCCACCCAGACTCAGGAGCCACCCAGCTGAGACCGGGGACCCCTCCTTCTCCATCAGACCCCACCTTGCCACCCCCAGAACACTACGGGCACCTCCCCCCCCAGCTCTGCCTGGAGCCCCCCCGGAGCCCAGGCCCCCCAGCCGTTCCCTCAGGCTCAATTCCTTCCCTCCATAGCACGGTCTCCTTGTCCATCTCCTCTTCAGGGGGCTGGTCCCTTTCCCAGGAGGCCATGGTGTCCTTAGGCGCCCAGGATACAGCTGGCTCCTGGCTGCATCCCCAGGTGAGCAGGCGCCTGGGCTGGAGGCCACCAGAGACTCAGAGCCCAACGGAGGCTTCCCCAGCGGGTGGCACAGCAACCGGGAGAAGGTGAAGAGAAGAGGTTTCCCCGACACGCAGCAGCCCCCTGGGGCTGGACAGCAGCACTGGGAGCCAAGGACACGCCGAGAGCCACGTCCTGGGTCCTGGGGGAGGCGCCGGCTTCCAGGAACAGAGAGGGGGAGGGGGGGCGAGCCACAGAGGTCAGGGTCGGGCTCTCAGACCCCCTTCCTGCGCCTCGGAGCCCTTGGGCCTACATGGGCCCGGGAAGCCCATCAGCGTCCAGACAAGAATCCAGCCACACCCAGAACCACCGGGGCTACAGTTCACCAGTCCCAGAACCACCCATCAAGGCTTGCCCAGGGGTCTGCGTGCACGGGCCTCTGTTGGCCTGGGAGCCGTCGGATCAGAAGGGGCCAGCTGGGCATCAGGAGGCCAACGTGCCACCACCTGCCCTGTCCCACATGTCCCTTAGTGCTCCCAGGGATGGAGCCTGCCTGGGGGCCAGGCGGCTGAGCAGGGGTCCAGGGCCACAGCAAGAGAGCAGGGGCAGGCGGGACCAGGGCCCAGAGCTGACCAGGGTCACTGTCCCGGGGAACAGGGTGGAGTCGGAGCGAATGTCCTCGCCGTGTTCAAACAGCCCTGCGCAGGCCTCACAGGTGAGATGATGCTGGGTCGTCAGGAGCTGGACACCTCCCTCCCACGAGGGTCCTAGCAGCTAGTGTGAGAGAGTCTCAGGGGAACCAGGAGCCCGTCAGGACCAGAATCCCTGACAGGAGGTTTCCAGCCCCCGCTGACCCTGTGTGGGCTTCTAGGTTTCCTCCCAAGTCCACTTGCCCCCACCCCTGTCCACCTATCCGTCACCCACCCGTCAGTCCATCCACCACCCACTCTCCAGCCATCGTCATGTCCGTCAGTCAGGTACCTCGCTGTGTATCAGGCGCTGTGTGGGTCTGCCTGCTTCTGCCAGCTGAGTGCTGTGGTCTGTGGACCTGTCCTCCCACACGGGAAAGCACAGCGCAGGCCAGGGACGCTGGCCATGTGCCCTCACCGCCCCCCCGAGCCTCGGTGGGCCTGGGGATGACGAAGGCATTGAGGGGCAGCCAGGGTGGGAGATGGGCGAGGGGTGCAGGACGCTGAGCCCTGGGGGAGGAGGCAGCCCTGCCCCCTCGGTGTCCCTGGGCCTGAGCCAACGGTGGAGGGACCCAAGGCCCTGGTGAGTTGTGGAGAGGGGACAGGACGGTCCATCTAGGCCTGTCTGGACCTGCTATTGGGCAAGGAAACCACCAGCAGAGAGCAGTGTGGGTCCGGTGGTGGGATCCAGGCAGCTGAGTCCTTCCCTGGTCAAGCTGACCCTTGATGCCCCTCGAGGACCCTGCACTGTGGGTGACTTTCTCAGGGGTCTTTTTCCAGTGCTCTGCCTGGGCCAGAGGAGCCACACGCAGGAGGGTGAGTCATGCCCACAGGTC